ATTTTTACTAATACTCTTATCACTCACAAATCTTTATAAAATTCTAATAAATACTTAAATAATTAAATTTAATTTTAAATATTAATATTTATATTTAAATAAATTAATATCATATTTTTAATAATTCCATTAATTTAAATATACTAGTACAATTCACATGTTTTTACATTTAAAGCCACTAAAAATCTCTTGAAGTAAAATCCAAAGTTTTATTATATCTAGAGTGTTATGCTGCTAAAAAGTAATGTTATACTTATAGTGCACATAATTGTGTTTTACCTTTTGAAATATATAAAGAAAAAAAATATTAAAGAAGATTTTTTTAACTTAAATTTGCTAGAATCATCATAAAGATTATTTTTAACATAAAAAATAAGAAGATTTGTTAACATGCTTAAACAAAATCTATCAAAAAAATTAGTGTAAATTAAAATTGTTGACTTAATAGCTTGAAGGTGCAATTGCTTTTCTTTTCATAGAATATATTATTATTCATTACATGCAACATTGTCTTTCTTTGGTATAAGATATTATAGATTAAAAAAGTATCTAATAAGCTTCTTTTTTTTTAATATAATATCTAATACTATATACAAATCATAACAAAGATATATTCCAACAAGTTTAGCAACAATCCAAGATATATATTAACATAAAATATTTAAGATTCTTATAATTGATCAAAGCTATCCTTAAACAAAAAGCAGCTTCTAGGAAATAACAACATTCTTAGAACAATTTTACAATAAGAAATAGTTTTTTGTTGTCGATCCTATATTTAATCTTACTTGTTGAATTTTTTTAAATAAAAGATAATATATAAAGTCTATCATTTGCATTTATTTGTAATAAAATTTCATCTAATGTAAAGTTTAATATATCTATTTTTATAAAACAAGGCTTAAAAAATCTAAATAATATAATATATGATCAAAAATAAATTTGATTTTCAAAATTTCAAATGATATTTTTGTATCTTTATTCAATTCCAATTTTTCTTTAAATTTTTGTTATCAAAGCATAATAAAAAAAAATTATAAAAAAATCTTAATAAATATCTAATAATGGTTTATAAATCTCAAAAAGCATTAGACATTACATGTAATTATTAAATTTATCTAATATATATAATAGATAACACAATTTTAGAATCTATTTTTATATATTTATTTAATATAATATATTCCAAAATTTCATTTGAATTGTGTATATTACAAAAATTCTTATTTAAAATATAACCTTACATTATTAATTTTTTACAATTTAAGAAAAATATGTTGTATATGTTTTTTAATATTTTAAGATTGCAGCATGAAACTTATATTTGATGATTATGGCCTAGAATTGTTAAATTATAAGGTTTCTAATAAAATTAGAGACCTTTTTTTTAAAATATTTTAAATTTGAGTTTGTGTTCTTTGCTTTGAATACATTTGATTTGATATAACATTCATGTACCTTAAGTCCTACTTTTTTTAAATAGAAACTCAAGTTTTTAGAATAGTATTTGTCTTTTTTCTTTGATATTAACTACTTAAATTTATTTTAATTAATGTACAAAGGTTTCACCTTTAATAAATCAATTTGGAAGTTCTTGTCATTAATTGATTTGTTCTTCTTCAACTAAATCTTTATTTCTAGTACCTTTCAAAGAATTATTTATTGAATAGAATTACTTGACTAATAAATTATTTCAATAAATTTTCTTTTGGCATTGTTAAAAATAGATTTTTAACATTATTTTTTAATTTATATCAAAAATAATTAATGAGAGCCTTATTATATTAATTTATATTACAAAAAAATTATTAAAATTCAATGACAAAAATAGTAGTTGAACTTGGCATTTGTTCCAAAGATTGGAGTTTTTTGCTATCTTTTAAATTATTATTTCTAAATGCGGCTGCAAATACCTCCAAAATTGAATTTAGATTATAAAAAAGTTTTGTATTTTTTTCCATCTAGTAAAAAAGTATGTTTAGAAAACTTACTTATTTATAATTTTCTATCTAAAAAGAGCAGTTTTAGATAGAAGTGTGTTTAGAAAACTTACTTGTATAATTATATCAAGGTATCAAGAAGTCTATAAATTTTTTTAAAATAAACTTAATGTAATATAAAAATAATCAAAAGATTGATTATATTCTATTAAACTTCTCTAATATATTAAATTTTGGCTCTTTTATATTTATTATATGAGGACTTCTAGAATTTTCTTCTCAAATTGATCTCCTTATATTTATTTCTTTTGATTGAAAAACTTAGCTCAGACAATAGATCTCATGATTAATTTCTTCTATAGATATAGCAATAGTACTTTTATAGAGATACTTATTAGTTTGTAAGATTTTTTCTCAAAAAATATTTAAAAAATTAATAATGATTTATAATAATTAAGAATCTATTTTCACTTTCATCAAGTATAACATTCATAAATTTTTATTCTTTCATATAACTAATAGATTATACTAAAAAATCTATAAATCAAATTAAAAGAGAATAAGCTATAACTTTTAATAAAAAAATTTAAAAAATTACAAAAAATTATAATCTATTTACAAAAATAAAAATAAAATCCAATATTATATATATTTCAAGGTGGATAGTTTGGAACTTCTAAAAACACAACAATGTGTCTTAAAAAATAAAATACTATAATTACTTCTTTAATAGTAAATACTTATGACAAATTAGTAGACTTATCAAATTTTCAAAGTCATGAATTTAAAAATAATCTAAAAGACAATATATTCATATTTTATTAAATAAAAAAGAAAATAAATAAATTATAAATTATAAGATATAAAAGATTTAAAATATCTACTGTTAAAAACAAAGAAACTATAGAAACTTGAATCAAGTTTGGAACACAAAATAATTGTTGATAAGACTAAGGATGGCCTTCATCTTTTTTCTATATATAATAGCTACAAAATAGGTCTTGTAGAAGCTTTCTGAACACCAAAAGGCTTGTGGTCCTAGCATGAAGTAATACATTACTTTTAAAATAACTTTCAAAAATTAAGAAAGTTGTGGCATAAGTTTCAATAGCCATGTAACATATAGCCAAGTTTGAATATCTAATTTGCATCTCAAAACTTCTTCAAAACTTTTTAACAAAGTTATTATCTTCTAAACATATTTCTATATATATCTACTTATTTCTATTTACTCCCACTTACTTCTTTTTATTAATTAATATGAGCATCCATTTTAATATATATATATATATATATATATATATATATATATATATATATTATCAATTAAAAAATACTAAACTAACAAAAAACTCATTGTAAATATGTTTAAGCTTAATTTTTATTTTTGAAGTGATAGAAATAATTTCAAGATTTTTTTTAAAAATATAAAGCAATATATATAGATATATATATATATATATATATATATATATATATAGTACTTAAAAAATTAAAAAACTTTAGATCATATGGTAATATTATAATAAATATTAATATGTTAATTATCATAAAAATAAGTCCAAATTATAAAAATATTTTTAAAAATATATACTTTATTAAATAATTTTATTTAATAACATATTTATCTTCTTTTTTAAAATAATAAGATTAAATGATAAAATAAGTTTTTAATACTTTTTTTTGTAGCTCTGTATGCTAGGTTTTATTTTATATATGTTTTTGTCTAATTTCTTATTAAATAGTTTTAAGGTTATATATATATATATATATATATATATACACACATATACATGCATATACATTTTTCCATTGAAACTGACTTGCATGATGTTCATATTTTAGATTTCTCCTCCTAGGTTTATCATTTGAAAAAATACCAATAAAATTTTCAAAATTATCAAATATTGATGTGTAGCAAAAAGTATTGTGAATCCATAATACAGATGTATTAATATTTCATACTTTTAATTGTAAAATACAGGAATGTTTATACTTGTACACACACTTAAGTTTTAACATTTTAAATTTCACTTTATTCCAGTATTACACTTGGACTGAGTAAACTGCACAAACCTATCAAATTAAAACATTGACTTATTTTACTGCACATGTTAAACATTCATGATCAAGTCACAATGCAGTCACAGGAAGATTGTTTTTGTAAAATTATTTATTGTTGTCCTTGTGGGGTCAAGAAGATTTTGTTTGATTCGATACTTAAAATTTTGACGCTACCAGAAATTCTCTCTATTGTGGGCTTGCAGGTTCCTATCGAACCCTCTGTCTGAGAATGATGAGAGTAGCAGTAATCCCAGTAGGTCTCCACTTTTCAGCTTGACCCAAAATTCATCTACTTGTGGTATTAGGGTATTTTCAGGTGTTGAAATATTATTTTTTAGTATTCTCTCTGCTTCGATAAGAGAAGTTCAACTACCCAAACCTGAAAGGAAAAACGATTTTCAGGATTCCACAGGAGTTCCATTGCAGAAATCTCCAACATCCCGCTTCAGATTCTGTGATGGAGAGCAGGTTCACGAAGCTAAGTTGTGACAAGGTGGGTGCAGTCACTGGGAGTCGTTCATATCTCGTGTGTGATGAGTTCATTTTTTTACGAGCTCCTGAAGCATCCTGGGCTTGGCAGCTGCAATAATCATTTTCAAATGATGAACTCGTCTCTCTACACCTCATTACAAGAATAAGGGGCTACACTACTAGCTGCTTGTGCATGAATCTAAAATAGAAATCACTGTGTCCGATTTTATTTCAACATTTCAGCTCCATCAGGATACAACTGTTCACACTACAATATGCCAAGAGTACTTACGGTAGAGATATTTCACCCAAGTCGTATATCCGCAACGAGGGGTATTAGCGATTGTTGTGACAGACTCTGGAACAAAGGGGATGGTAACTTTCGTTATTGCACACATGTTCCAAAATAAGAATCTATGCATATGTTTGGTGAAAACATACAATACTTTGGGCGATACGAGAGGCCTATTTCAAGGATTGATGTAAACATGATTAAAAAATGTGAGCATGATCTGCGAGGGCCCAGTCTCAAACGAAGTAATGATATTAAAAAACGACCATTGTGTGGACTCCATAAAGGTCCCCATGAATCTGACAGTTAAAGGTAGATTGTGCTAGGCCTCACTACGACTACTGCACACCAAAACAAGACTATGTGTGACCATCTGACTGAACCTTACCCAGAGTCAACTCCCTCCATCAAGGATCACAGTGCTCATCACTGTCACCAAATCCTCATGGCTAACGGATTCCGTGGAGCCCGTCCCCAGGGCAACAACAATCTGCAGGGAGACCTTTAGAATTCAGATAAAAACCTTGACACTTACCAAGAATCATAGCAACAAAGCGAAAGCACACATTATTTTCAAATGGATAGACTCAGATGCAGAAGTAAGAGTCCCGTTGTGGTAGTCTTTAGCAATATTGGGAAACCTGCTAAAATATTCTGGTAGTGCGATGAAGTAGAATTTTCTGAGACAATCGCCATTGAGGCCTCCCGAAAACAGTGATACAAATCCGCCAACTTGATTATGATGATGCTCAGGGTACTCTTGATGGCCGGTCAGTATGGAAATGGGAATGTCACCGCCCTGCATTAAACAACAGAGGTGCAGATGACCACAATGTGATTACCAGTTAACTTAGGATGAAGACCAAGACACACATTAACTCGAGTACATGCAAAGCCCTTATATAAAAATCACACCAGGGTAACGATAATTTACACTTCAAGAAACCTTGACATGAACGACAATACCGCTAAGGAGGTACACTTACTACATGCAAGAGGTTAAGAAACACCCAAACTAGGCATGCGATGTGAGGAGGTTGATTGATTCATCACGATTCAAGAGATACATGGGAATCCAACTGCAGGTTCCAGTACGAATGCACATCATGCGGTTCAACGGGCCACAGAGCGCCAATTCTTCGCTACTTGAGCTGAGATTAATTGAAACAAGGAAGCGGAGAAGATAGATCAACTGCAACGACTTGCCCCTCGGCATGTTGACAGAGACCCGAGCGCATCGGAATTTCTTCAATGCCTGGAGCTCGTCAACTGCCAAGATCCTCCTACTCAATATAAATGTAAGACCAAAACTAAGCTTATGAAAAGAGACTCAAAAGGCCACATCAAAACTTGACCTAGATTTTCCCTACCATTGTCAGATATCCAGCTACTGCTCCTGCAACAACTGATCCAGTTCCTCAACCGGCCTCATTGTAACAATTCATTGGTAACTACGAACAACGATCACCACTGAACTCCATGAGTTAACACTAACCATGGTGAGTGTGGGCGATCATTACTCCTTGCTCTTCAATATCTTCGTAATGGAATCTGCGGCCGTTGGAACGACAAATACTTTAGGGTCGACCGGTGTGCAGGTGAACAGGTCCTGCTCTATGCCTGACCATTTCGAGGGAGTGAGGGATTCGTAATCACGCAAGGTCATGTCGTAGCTTCGTAAGATTTCACTAACGTTGAACGAGTGAGCCTCAGAACCTGCCGTCCTCAAACGCCCCTTTATGCTTCGGAACCAGACTGTATCACTAACCCACTTCCTTGAAAGTTTGAGCTCGCCATGACGACGACCGCGGCCCAGCTCACGCTCCGGATGCGCCTGCTCTTGCCCACCGGCATCCTCTCCGGAACTTTTCGAAGACGGAGAGGCGTTCGTTGAGTGCCCTTTGGGGGGCACAGGAATGGGCCACACTGGCACCGTCTGGTCAAAATATAGGGGCACCCGCTGGTCATTCTTATTGCGCAATAACTGCACCCTGGGTATTCTGCTCCATCGAGCTTCATTGTTAGATGTGGCAGAGGAACTGCATTCTGGATTTGGAACCTGCTGCATTGTGAGCCTCCACTACTACCCTCTCCCTTCACCCACAAATCCAATTCTCATTTCCCTTAACTCCAGTTCCATCAAAGGACACACATACCTGTAATCTCACGTTTGCTGTTCACAGCGCAGGCTACCTCCTTGTAAATTACCTGCCGGCACATACAACCTACGTCCCTCTTATCCAACCTGTAACTTATTCCTTCTCCAGAGCAACCAAATACGACTCTCGAGACCTTCAATCTTGCACCAATTCCCACCACAGTGACATCGTCATCTAACATCTGCAGACTGGATCCAAGACGGAATTCTCAATCCCAGTCTACAGAACTTCCAGGTCCGCTCTAACGTCCCACGATGAAACCTCCAGCCATACTCGCAGGAAAAAGGAAAAAAGAAAACTCACTTCCCACCTGAGTTAGCATCTATCACTACAACCCAGAGAGGCAATACTCCAACCTCCCCCGTCCCACATCTCAGTCACAACCCCAGGGGCAACCCCCATCACCCTGACACAGAATCCAACCCTGTCGAAACCCAACACGAAACTCCAACCCGCTCCAAAACTACGATTACCAAACCCAACTCACAGCAACCTCAACTCCCGTCCCACTCACGTTCCGGAAAGGCGAGCTGAGAGCTGCGTCAGTTCAAACCTCCACCTGCACCACCACCTCCGCCCTCGTATACAATGCAGGTAACGCCCGTCGTCTCACCCGGAATTCACCGCACTGCTCCGGCATTCACATAAACCCAAGGGGACCTTTCCCGAGGACGTGACAACAAGGGTTTCTAACTAGTTCGCTGCCTTTCAATTTGATGAACAGAGTTCGCGACAGTGGGTTTCCGTGAAGGAATGCGGAGCCAATGCGGGGCGACCGCGTCGACCGCAGAAGATTTGCAATAGTAGCAGACTTGTCCTGTTTCCCTTCCACTACTTTTGCCCCTTTGGACGAGCCCACTTGCGGCGGAGCCAATTACATGGCCAGCCAGATATTATATCTGCCGACCCCCTCCGGTCCAGCTCGGATCGTTCCCGAGAGTGGGCCAATGGGGTTCGGCGCTTCGCTCTGCATTCATTGGCAACTGCGACAAATGGCTCCGCAACTTTTGAGTGGACGGTTGGAGGAATTGGACAGTAAGAGCAAAGGAGCTTACGGACTCAGCTCCACGGTGTGGCCAATCAGCGCGAGCCGGTCCAAAAGCTCCAAATCATTTTAATCCTTGATTTTCTAAATAAGGAAAAAGCGTAGATCTCTGGGGGGTCGTTCGCAGCTCAAAGTGTGTGGATGACTGTCGTTTTATGGATGGCTCCATTCATTCATTTTTTGGATGGCGACAACTTTAGGGCCTTGGACGCTCATTGGATGACGTATCGTTATTTTTTTTTTTATCCCTCTACCCTCAATAGACGAGGTTGGGGTTAATGTTGTGCATAATTAAAAATGGCATACGAGAGTTTGTGATGGTTGTGAGTTAATGTATTCGACAACATTCTTTTGTGGAATTAGTTTCTACAAGACAAATCACATGAGAATCTGTTTTAGCAAGATTTTCATCATAGAGATAAACACATACACATATTTTGTTTGTGATTAAACTTCTTTCTCATTGCAAAGTAAATTTGAATTATACAACTTAAGTTGGATTTGTTTGTTTAATTTTGTTTATCTTTCTTTCTTCTTTTTTTTTTTTTTTTAATATATATATTATGGTGGTTACTTAGTTTTTAGATTTAAGATAAATATATAAAATACATGACTTCTAAAGTCTTAAGACCTTTGCTTTATGACAATCCTAAGGACTTTAAAAGTAATGTTGTAAAATTCATACAAAAAAAATTCTATAAATATATTATGATTCCATATCTTTATGAATTATTACATTATACTCTAAAATGAATTACGTTTTATATAATGGTGATATATGTTTCAATTCCTAGCATAGTTTTAGGCATCCATAAGTTGTTTCATTTTTGAAGAATTTTTTATAGTGATTTATTTGTTTAATTAGTTTTATTGCATTTGTTTTTTCACAATATTAAATCATATAAAATCAAATTGGATTATATTGATTTATCCTTATACAAATGATAATATAATATATTTTAATGATAATAAAAATATGCTATTAAATTTATAATAGATATAAAGATAAAGTCTAAATGGTGCAAAACTATTTAAAATTAAACTATAATAGTTTATATAATTTTATTTATTTTTTTATAATAACATTAATTAACATAATTATATTTATTCATTTTTTAATTAGATGTACATCTTAGCACTTGTAATTACAAGCTTGTATCACGGACATACAAGCCAATAATTACATGTATAAATAGATAGAAGTAAATAAAAATAGATAAAAGTAAGTTAATTCTATAGTATTTAGTATGGAAGCTTCTTAGAAGCTTCAAAGACATTAATTTGACTTTATAGGTCTCCTTAATTGACTTTTTGGGATTAGAAACGTAGTCAAACAAGTTGGCCATGTGCCACACATGTTATTAGCTTGAAGACCAAGTTAACTATGTGACCCATATGTAGAAAAACTTACCTTGTAAATCAAGGCATGTGTCCTACAAAGTCAACACATATTGGAGGTCCTATAGAACATCACCATGTAGCTCCTAGTAAGATAATAAATATACAGACAAAACTGAAGCCTTCTTCACTCTTGTCAACTCTTTTCTTGCTTCCAGTCTAGTTTCAAGCGTCTCTAGTTGTCTTGGCTTTTGGCAACAGCCATTCCAGTTTCTTTCTTAATAAATATATATATATATATATATATATATATATATGTGTGAAGTTATTTCTATCTTTTCATCTTTCTTTAAGAAAAGTTTTACTTGTTTATTTATTTTTATCATGTTCTTGTCCTTGGCAGATTGACAAGAGTATACTTACAATATGAAAGCTTTGTCTAATCTTGATTAAGAGTAGATTACCCCTTTTTCTTGATAAGACAAAAGCATATTAGAAGTTGTGGATTACCCTCTTCTAAACTAATATTGTCCCTAGTATTTTCTTTGTTCTCAAGTCCTCTCATCTTTTTGTCTTGAGCGATATTAGACATCTTCTCTTTTCTAAGTGTTATCATGGCAGAACTTGCTGAAATGAAGAGTGCAATGGCACAAATACAAGAGCAATTGAGGGAGTCAATGCTTGTGATGCATCAACTCAATTTACCACCACAAGGAGCAATAAGATTGACAAGAAGTGAAGATATAGAAATGATTGGAGCTTCTTCAACATCTACACTAAATCATATCCTTTTTCCTCTGGTGGAACATCCTTCCAGTGTTACAGAACCAAGAATTGTCCTATCCGAGAAGTTTGATGGCACCACATCCAAGTTTTGAGGATTTATCAATCAAGTACAACTTGTGATTGAACTTCAACTCCCAAGCTATCCAACTCCACGATCGCAAGTAAGATTCATTGGTACGCTCCTTTCAAGTTCAGCAATATTATAATTTTTATCTTTTCTTGAAGGACATGATCCAATATTGGATAATCTAAAGGCTTTTTTTAGTGGAGTTTCTATCCATGTATGCAGAACATGATGTAATTCGTGTAGCAACCAATAAGATCCATATTTTACGACAAGGTAATTGATCAGTAACATTGTATGCTTCACAATTTTGACAACTTGCAACTGATATCAAGTAGGATGATGCTGCACTTATTAGTCAAATTCTCTACAGAGTACAATATGAGGTAAAAAAATTAATGTTCAACTTACTTGATCCTCAAACATTGAGGCAAGCAATTGACTTTGTTGTAAAGTGCGACAATCACCTTTTTGAATTCCGATCTAAGAACAGTACAAGAAGACCTCAACGTAACTATAATTCAATAGCAACACCAACATCTTTATAATACATACATTCAAAAGTAGAAGATATGTAAATTGATGCAGTACGTTTCAAACCTCTTATTGAGCAAGAAAAGACTCATCGTCGTCAAGAAGGATTGTGCTTATATTATGGAGAATCTAAGCACACTGCTCAACATTGTCCATAGAAGTGACACAACTATAAAATTAAGGAGTACAGCGATCAAAGAAGATAGCATGTCAAAAAATGAATTTGTCCAATAACAATAGGGACACTGAGGCTAGAACCTTATACAACACCTAGTAAAGGTCCTATCCTCTCCTCAGAACCCTCTCCATATTTTACAATAAATGTTATTCTAGGACCCAAACATTTCAAAGCTTCTGCCTTGCTAGATTCACGATCCTCAGTATGATTCTTAGATGAAAAATTTGCTAAAAGATATAGCATATTTTTAGTAAAGAAAACTAAACCTATTCATATAGAAGTCATAGATGGTCATCTCTTGACTTCAGAAGATATTACTCATGAAATCCTTTCTATAGAAATAGCAACTAATGGTCATAGTAGCTTTTTAATATTTAATATCATTAGATCTCCTTCTAATCCAGTCATTTTAGATTTATCATTGCTAAAAAAATATAACCCTAAAATAGATTGAACTTCTCGTAGTCTTGATTTTTCTGAAAGTATAACTAAGAGTGTAGTTAATCAAGTAGAAAGTCATAAGTCTAGTATAATTAAATCTATATTTGTAGGTGCACGTGCTTTCTTGCATACTGCAAAAGAAGGATCACCTTATGTCATTTATGCCACACCTGTTTCTATTGGTGGGAAGACTTTAAGTGGTATTCTAAGCCAATATTAAGATTTTCAAGATGTATTTGAGAAAAAGAATGCAGATACTCTTCCAGAACATCGTTCCTATGATAGCTCAATTGACCTTCAAGAAGGAGCACAACCGCCATTTGGACAAATCTATAGTTTTATCTCAAAATGAGTTAGCTGAACTCAAAGAGTATATTGAAGAGAATTTGGCCAAGAAATTCATACACCATTTCAAATCTCCAATAGGAGTTCCAATTTTATTTGTGAAGAAAAAAGTTGGATCATTGCGGATGTGTGTTGATTATCGAGGACTCAACAAAATCACTATCAAAAACATGTACCCGCTACCTTTGATATCTGGACTTCTTGATCAGTTGAATCAAGCTAAGATCTATACAAAAATAGATCTATGAGGAGCATACAATTTGGTACACATTAAAGAAGGAGATGAATGGAAGACTGCATTTTGATCAAGGTATGGACATTTCGAATACAACGTCATGCCTTTTGGACTTTCAAATGCGTCAACAACATTCCAACATCTTATGAATGATGTCTTTTGGGAGTTTTTAGATGATTTTATTGTCTGTTACCAAGATGACATCTTAATCTATTCTAAGAACCCATAAAAACATGAACTTCGTGTTCGCCAAGTATTACAAAAACTAAGAGATGCAAGACTCTATGCCAAGATAGAAAAGTATGTATTTCACACTACTCAAATCGACTTCTTAGGATACATCATTTCAAATGATGGACTTATGATGGATCCTAAGAAATTTCAAACTATTAGGGATTGGAAGATCCCAAAAACGGTAAGAGATGTCCAATGCTTTTTGGGATTTGTCAACTACTATCGGATCTTCATCAAAGACTTCTCTCAAGTTACAGCTCTACTTACACGTTTGACTTGCAAAGGCAAACTTCAATGGAATAAAGAAGCAGAAGTAGCATTTGAAGCTTTGAAGACAACCTTTGTTTCTGCACCAATCTTGTATCACGTCAATTTTTCTAAGCCTTTTTTTTTATGAAAATATATCCATCAGACTTTGCTTTGGGTGCCGTATTGTCACAAATGGGAACAGATGATAAAATTCATCCAATAGCTTTTCATTCCAGAAAATTTTTAGCAATCGAGATCAACTACGAGATCCACAACAAAGAACTTCTTGCAATCATGGATTCGTTTTAAGAATGGTACCA